ATTACAGCTGGTACAGACATGTGGGAAGGTATCTTTTGGTTCCACCATGGGCCCCGTGTCCTCCAGCACACTGACTGTACCCTGCTAGCCAGGCAGTGTGCATCCTTGGTCAACTTCTGGAAACAGAACTCCTTTCAGGAGCCCCTGGGCTGATGGGGTCCCCCGGAAGGCTGCAGTCTTCCTCAGGCAGGACCACCTCAGCAGGGCTTCAATCCCCCTCTCCACTGTGAGCAGCTGAACTGAGCCATGGGTGCAAGCAGGAATAGTGCCTTGTTTTCACGTGCTTTCAGACCTAGTTCAGGCAGACATATTAAACATCCAGAATGACAGACCTATATTCAGAAAAGTGACAGGTGTTCAAACTGCCTCTTTTATCAGTCTTGTCTCTTTTCTAACAATGTGCTAGATGCTCACAAGTTTTCAAGTGGTTCGTCTGTAAGAGCTTGTGCTCTGTGCGGCTTCTTGTCTTCATGCTAATAGGCCAGTTAAAGTAAAAGGTATTCTGAATGAAGTAGGAATAGCTATCTCCTCTAGGGAACAGTTGCATTCTTGCAGTTGTGTGATGATTTCATGCTATGCAAGAACTGGAAGAAGTTCAGGAAAGTTACATGGCAGCAATCTCCTTCTGAGGTCAGAAGTGCTAGGAGGTGAGGGGGAGAGTGTCATATAAGCGGAGGCTTCAAAGAATGGGTTGGGAGAACTCCTGAACACCATGCTTTCCAAATGCAGGCGATTAATTGAAGGATACAATACTGAGCACTTCAGTCTATTATGTTCATTGCATGATCCACTTCAGAAACACCTTTTGTTTTCTCATAGTTTGCTTGATATTTGAAGCAACTCTTGTTAGGCACGTACTGCACTTCCCCTGCAAGCCTGAGAGCTGAAAGGGAAAACTGAAATGCTCCTGATTCAGAAGATGAAGGTACATTGCGAAGTTAGTGCACCTGTGTATGCTCCAAAGAGAAGCACTGAATAAGAATCCACCTTGATGTGCTCTTGAATTGCAAAAGCTTTCTAATGCAGCCTGTGCCCATGATTTATAACAATGACTCATAATATTGCATTATACTTAATATGATGTAACGCTGATGCAAGATGCCATTCGTGGAATTTCAATGTCACAGGGAAAAGAGAGGAGAGAGCAATCTGGTCATGTACCTTGCCGTGCTGTCAAAATGGAACGTTTACAGCCAAAATGTGTAGAACCTTTCAGTAGCTACTTTGCTGTTTTTTAGTAGCATAACTTGGAGAATAATATTTTTATTTTCTGGAGCACAAATATCTCTCAGAAGTGCATTATTGTGTTACTTGCATTAATCTAATTAACTTTGTACTTGAGAAGACAAATTTGCTAACAGATGATTCAGCCTTGCAATTATAACCCCTCACATGGAAGTTTTCAGGGCAAATCAGGATTATGCCTCTAAAATAATTTAAGCTTTATCTGTCTTTTCTGACCCAGCTGTTACGAATTCTCCTCCTGTTCTCCCTATGCTGCTTGCTTCTTACTACAGTGAATCAGCATTTCAGGAAATACTAATTCAAAGAGGAAAGACACCCTAAACTCTGCTTCTGGACGTCAGAAATAGCTGCTCTCCAGTAGGTTTGACAAATTATGTGAGGCTTCTTGGGCTACTTGGGGCAGTTGTGCAGGGTGTATGTGACCCCTGTTCTGAACTCTGCCCCTTCCAAGCAGCCTGGGAACTTTGAAGTTGTGCCTGTGTGCTACAGAACTGAGTCCTGGAAGTTTGTCACTGAGACAGGGAGAGGAACAGAATGAGAGCACTGCTGGCTCCACCCCAGAAGTGGAGGTATCATCCTGCAGGAACCATTGGCATCACTGGCATTGGTTTGCAGTGTGGGAGCAGCTGGAAGTGGAGACATTTTGCACCCACTGATTGCAGGTACAAGTGCTTCTCACTGTGCCCTGGGCATGCACACAAGTGTTTTCCAAGCATTGCACTACCAAGGCTGTTTGAGATAAAAACACATGGATATTCTCCACTTGTCACCTCTAAAATCCTCCACACATGGCACAGTCAGTTTTCATTCACCTCTAGAAAGAGCTGACAAACAACTGTGAGATTGCTCTGACAGAGTCACGTTGGCAGCCCTGGGGTAACAGCTGGACTGGGTGATCTTAAAGGTCTTTTCCAACCTGGTTGATTCTATGATTCTATGAGACTGTTCTTGGCACCACAGCAGATAGAGAGACATCTGCCTAAGTAAAACAAGACTATGAGAAGGTGGAAAGTCTTGAATTAAGACCTCCAAAATGTCTGGATCAGACTTTTCCTGATTCTCTGTAGGTTTATACCATGCAGTCCAACTCACACCCAGTGGGCCTGCCCACTGCAGTGCAAAGTCTGTCATCTCTTGCTCATCAAGATGTGACAGATGAATTTGCCAGCTATTACTAGGAAGTCAACTAGATAATAACACATGTATGATTTACTAGAGTGCATCCTGAATCCTCTGCAGCTGGTGTAATCCTAAAGAAGAACCGTTCCACAGGTCATTCGTGAGTGCCTAGGGCAGTGGGCACAGCACACAGTACAGTTTCACAGTGCAAGACCAAAGTAGAGGGGACTATCTTGTGAACAGCATAGCAGTGCCTACAGGTGAAGATAACAAATCAATAATTGAACATCTGGTTTATTTCTGGAAGGCCAGTAGGTGCCAGTCTGTCTCCTACATGCATGAATATCATCAAAAACCTAGCCATGGGCGAGTAAAACTAGACAAGAATTTGTAGCCCAGAGGAAAGCCACCAAGAATAGATTGTGTGGAGACTGATAAGATCCATATTGCTCCAAAAGGGAGAGTACCACCTCAAAACAAGACAGTCTTTGTTGTGAAAGGGTTAGGTTGTGAGAGACCTAGCTTGCCAAATACCCATAATGGCTTCCCTCTGCCAATTGTCTTTAAGTACTGTGATCTTTCACATAAGAGCAAAGCCTGAAAGGAATCTTGCTAGCAAAAACATCATTTATTCATTCTCTCCAGGATGGTGGAGGAACGTGCCTCTTCCCAGTCATGTTACTCCTTCTTTCCCCTGAAGATTTCAAACAGAGATTTGTTCGAACAAAGATCAGTAATTTTGCTCTGTAAAGGATGCAGGAAGAAGAGTAGAAATATCTCTAGATCAGAACAGTTCCTGAGCCTGCTGGAGAAATGGCAGATGGCCAGAGATAGCTCACACCACTGCTCTCCCAGGTAACAATGCGCAGAGCTCAGAATTCCAGGCACAATCCTTTAGGACAGCAAATTGTGCACATATAGGTGAGAAACACAAGGAGCTCTTGTCCTCAAGGCTTCTGAACACAGGCCAGCTCTAGGACCAGCTGCCCTCCTTCTCTGCCTTGGGTCCATACCTGGGCAATAGTGGAGACAAAAAAAAATGCAACTCCTTTTCTCTGTATCTCTGAGCTTTGCATTGGAAAGAAAAGAATTCTAGGCAGTAGCCAGTTCCATCTCTGTATGCAGTCGACTGCAGGCTGCTCTGTCATTTCTTGGGGATCTTTTAACTGCCAGCACCTACCAAACACAAGCAGACCTTTCAAGGAAGTACCTTTCCCACAGAGGTGAAACTCCTCTGCAGTTTTCTGTTTCAGTGGATTTGTGCTTGTATAACAGAGCAGAATGTGGATCTCGGTGCTTTACCAGGCTTCTCAGTAAGTAAGAAAGATCTCAGACCATTTGTTCAGCAAATATTAGTGGGTAGCCCTTGATCTATTCTCAGAACTCAGTGTTAATCTTGCTAGTGGTTTGACATACTGTGTTTGCACTAGAGAGCCAGACACAAGCAGGCACTGGGGATACTAGGCAGAGTAAAAACCATAATCTCATCTATAAAACTACTACAGTAGCATTAAATAAAAGAAGGGTTAGGCTTTTGTTTGGGGTGGAAATGGCTCTTTTTTCTTTTTTCAATCTACTTGGCTCCAGCATAAGTGGAGTTGTCTCAGAGCCCACAGGTAATTACTACAACAAAAATAGTATCCACAAATTTACTGCTGTTCCTAACTTCCTTCTCCCATTTGCTTCTAAGTCACACTACCATAATGCTCAAATCAGTGCTAATGCTCAGTGGAGGAGGTAAAGCAGAGAGCTCAGAAAGCAAGAGGATCGACATTCATTCTGCAAGATGCAATTAGCAAAAGAGCACCTTCCGTACAGAGAGCAGCGCTGGACTACCTGCACATGGGGAGCACGAGGCAGCCCCTGGCCACTCCTCGCTGGTGTAAATCAGAGCCCCTGCACCACCGAGACTGTTCAGGGTACGCTGGAGAAGGCCTGACCAGCAGGGATCTGAGGAGCGCAGATCAGGTCAGGTCTTGCTTCTGCAACAGCTGCTGTTGATAATCAGAAAACTGGCCGAGTGGAGCAAACAGTAAAGGCAGCAAACCCGGGCACTCAGTGCCCAGGATCCACAGGAAATGTGTTGGAAGCTGCTGAGCTCCTGTCTTCCTGAGCACTGGTTCTGGAGCAGCTGCTTTCAGATACCCAGCCCAAAAGAATGGGGAGGGGGCAGGCATCTTGCAAATCCATATAATGTTGTAACAGTGAGTCAGCCTGTGGCCTTTTTGCTAAAGTATTTTAATACTTCTAGAGGTAGTCCTCACACAAAGAGCAAGGTTTAAAGAGTTGGTTTGAAAATGATCCCTTTTCAAATGAGGAATTCATGTCTAAACCTGACGAAAATCCCATTCACCCACACAGTAGCAGCAAGCTTTCTACCATAAAGTATCATTTGTCTTTACAGTTAAAATGTTTGTTTGCTTTTTTCTTTTTCCAGCTGTAGAGGGTAACATTTAGACAAATATGTGATAGACAGATGGTCCAACCAGCTCGTATAACTCACCAAGGTGCCTACTTGTCTACTGTAAAATGAGGTCAGCATTAAAGCACACTGTAGTTGCTAGGCACTGTCCATGACCTAACCCATCTCCAGTCCCAGGCTGGAGATGGCCTGGGAGGAGAGCAGAGGGACTTACCTTCCGCCCAGCCTCATTGTTGTGCAGATTCATGAGTGTCCTTGCATTTTGCTTAATCTCCCGGGCATCCACAAACACTTTGGCGAATCCTATTCCGTATCTGATATCTGCAGAGCAGCCTCCCCATTTCCATCCTTCCTCCTTATGGTACTGTCCTTGTTTTTCTTTGTCACAGCCACAGTCACTCAGGTTGCCCTGTGTACAGGCAGCTGTGATTGCATGTGCTACTCCAGCAGCAATGATGGCGTATGTGAATGCTGCTTCTCTGCTACCTGAAATGAAAACAGTGCTGTAAATACATGATACAACATGGTGACATGAGTTAGAAAAACACAGGCAAGGTCCTGCCGCACAAACATCAGGAGGCTATTCTTAGGAGTGCTGTAAATCTGCAGGCATAAGCAGGTCTCTGCTCTTCTAAGTATTGATTTTTGTGGACGTTCACTTTCTGAAATGATAGCTCTCTATGATATAGTAAGATATAAAGTATTGTTTAGGCAACTTCATATATATATTTCCAGATGGTATTAGAAGCAGTCAAAACTTTTTATAGTAACAAGGTGGGGTGGCAAATGCCCTAGCTCAAAAAGAAAGAAAGAAAAGGAAAATAGGTGGAATTGGGAGTGAAATTGCTAAAACAACCATATTAAACTTCTTAAAAAAACAGAAATGGGATTTTATTTAGAAATTGAATTTTGCACTAAAAGGTATTTGTACAGGAAACCAGCCTCTGTTTACAGGAAGAAAACCTCTGTTAGAAATCTTGTTCTGAAAATACCTTTACTGATCTGGAACACAGGATTTTTACATTGTAGGTATCACAAAGTTTTCAGCAGTGATATTTGTGCAGACTCAATGAAATCAGTTTGGGGTTTAATTTCAAAATGTCTCAAATTTTAAATTTCAAAATTTAATTTTTCAAAATTAGGATGGAAAAAAAACCCTACCCTGTTGCAGGTACATGACAAAAGCAAGGCAAAGTAAAAGCCTCCCCAGAGGGCTGTGAGGAAGAGGTTAAGCCAATATTGATTTGTGAAACACAGAATCATAGGATACTTAGGGCTGGAAAAGGCCAGCAACATGGCTATAGTAACAACACACTTCTGTTTGGTTCTCACTTTAGATCTATGATTTAATTTATCTTCTTGAAGCTTTTTTGCATGCTGCTCTGTGTGTTTCCCACATGTGGATCCTACAAGATCTGAGAGACTTCCAGAACCAGTTCTGATGAACGAGGGCCCCTTCAAAACCTAAGGAGATTTGCAGAGGTCACCTATGTCTGTCAAACAGCCCTTGGAAAAAATCTTGGATCTCCCAAACTAAGCAATTACCCTTACTCTTATTTCTCCAAGGTCAGAATCTATCATTGCATCAGTAGGATCAGAATCAGGCTCTTAATTAGGAGAGGTGCAGATGAGAAGATCAGCTTCCCTTCTCCAAACACCCAGCCATGGAGTTCTGGCAGAGCTCAGCTACTGCCAATAGTTTCTTATACATGAAACAAGCACATTTCTGTTGTTTATTGGATTTCACAAAAAAATCCTTACTTGGGAAAGAAATCTTACAAGCACTTCATTCTCAGCTACATCCCCTTCACATCCATGGTCTGGATTTCTCTTACTTGCCACTAAATGGTTCTTCTAATGCAAAATGTTTGCTTCCTTAAGGCAAGGAAGTACAGTGGAAAACAAGACAACATAAAATCTGTTAATAGGCAACTTCATGCCCTTTTATCACATAGGCAATATTCCCACTAATACTGCCATGCACTGTATTTAAGAAACTTGTAGTAAAGTATCATTATTCCTCAAAGGATTTCTTGTTTTCCTATATTTAAAAAAAAGTCGCAAAGTGTTGAGTTGTTGGGACTGTGGGCTTTGCAGATGAGGCTTTCCAGAACATATGGCTTTTTATGAAAATCTGAATGTGGGATAGAAATCACAGGATTTAGATGGATTTGGAGTTGCGCTCTCAGTGCCTCTGTGTAGGTGGAGGAGGCAGGTGGAAATTGGGTCCCACTCCAGAATGAATCCACCAGGACCAGCCAGGGTACCCTGTAGTTGTTCCTCCAGTTTATCCTCAACAATATCCTCACCATTTTAAATACAACAGTATGAAAAATGCACTGACAAACAGGGCAAGGTACAATAAGAAGTCCCAGTTTCTCTGCTCAGAGGGGAGCAATGCATTACACTGGGTTTCTGGTGAAATTTGCATGTGGTTCTGGTTTTCCTTTGGTTGGATGATTTCTGCTCTATCACAAGTTGTTTTCACGATCTAGAATAAAAAACACTGGGAGATCACTTTAACCTGACATACTCAACATATTAAAGACTAAGCAGCTCTTTTGCTTCTTAGAAGGGAGCAAAATGCAAAGCAGGGAGTATAAAACTGGCACAAGCAGAATCAGACCCCAGTGTCAATCTTGACCATAAAATATATTACATAAATTAAGTTATTTTATAAGTGGGTCTTGTTTGGGGGAAAAGTTGAGCAGCTTTTTAAAACTAAAGTTAGAGAATTACAAGGTAAACTCAGTGTCTGGAGGAATTGATCCAGGCAGGAAGCACCTTGGCATTTATGCAGTATTGATAAAGTGGAACAGGCTTGTCCCATCTGCATCAAACTATCCCTGTTTTTCCACAAATTAATCACTTTTTGAAGCTTCATTACCCTTGTCTGGCCCATAGGAATGCCAGCATACAGGCTAAGGGGAGGCTTAATTCATTTTGAGCCTCCTCTGTGACAATGCCTTAGAGACCAAAGAAGCATAACAGGGCTTTGGGCAGCAGATGGGATAACATGAGAATATGTGCTTTCCTACCACTTTTAAACAGCAAATGCTACTCCTCTGCTTCTGGTTTCAGCAGACAGTTGAGGTGCCTGGAGGATCTCAGAAGGAAACGCTGCTATAACAAAGTAGGCTCGGGCTGCAGCTTGCAGTCAGTGTGTGGTTTCCTCCGAGACTCTGCTGATGCTCCAAAACAACTGACCTGCTCCGTATTCAGTCTAATCTCAAAACATGGGTAGGTTGAAAGGTGCAACATCATCACTGCTGGATGCTGGATTCTAGATTCTGAATTTGGGAACTGAGCTGATATCATCCTCTTTTATCTTCTTTCTTGTTTAGTTTTCAGCTGAGACCTATGCTTTACTTTCCCTCTGGAAATTTAGTAGTAAAAACCTCGGGATCCTAGTGCTAGAAAAAGGTCAGGCTTTGATATCAACACTGAACTGAGCCTCTCATATCCAAGCTGAAGGTGATGGTAACTGTAGCATCACGAAATATTTCACAGGTGGGAGCAGCACCTCTGGTGCAGGAAGATAAAGAAATTCAGCAAAGCAGGAGGTATGGTACAAAACATAGGGCAAAGAAAGGGCAGAACTAGCAGCAATACATCACACCATGTGAGACACAGAGCCTGCTTTGGCCAGTGACCAGATTAAGCAAAACACTTCTTTCCTAGCAAAAATAGACAGATAGTCAGCAGGTTGATGGTAAAATCAAGGGGTTTGCTCTTCTGTATGACTGATAGAGTGTGGAAAACTCTAATCTGCAGTAATTACCTTCTCTAGATGGCTCAGAAGATCAGGCAGTAGCTGGGAGAGTAAATTGGTATGTTTTCAGCAGTGAGATCAGAAAAGACCTTTTGGAGAGAGCTTAAATAAAATGTACTCATTGGCGTGAGCTGTTCAAACTGTCTCTTGAGCAATTTTATGACCCATTCACTAGACACCTTGTGTGGAGACCCAGGAATTAAACCTTCTTGCAGTCAGTTCTCACTGAACCCATCCTTAAACTGCAACTGGACTTAAATCTATGGTTTTTAAAAAAAAAAAAAAAGTATTTTTTTAAAAGTAAGTTTAATTTAGAAATGCATATAAAAAACAAACCCAGTGATCTTTGTGGAAGGATTTGTGGAAATCATGATCCCAGATGTTAGGTCAACTTAAGAGGTTTTGTTGAGGCTTCTCCTGCCCATGGCTTGCAAGGGTGCATGTAAAACCACTTGTGATGAGTAAACTAGTAGAAGAAAGAACGAATGAGAGCTGCCTGAGCCCTACAAGAGTTGTGGAGAGAGGTGGAGAGTTGGCTGTGTGTGTACAGGAATTGCAAGCCACCCTTTCAGCTCCCATATTGCATGTTCTTCTCATTGTCTGGAATAAGCAAAGGCTAAACACACACCAGAGATCAACTCCAAGCTCTAGAAGCTGCAGGAAAGGATGCAGGAGTCTGTCAGAGGTTGCTTTGGTCATTAATAAAGCTGGTGATGTGACAGGTTTCTAACCACAGCAGTGTTGCCGGGTGTAACTGCTGTAACACCGTAAGTGATATTCAAGCACAGTGGCTGGCAGGGAGTGGGGGGAGCACCTTGTGCTTGACCGCAGCAGTGTCACCCACCAGCACTCAGCCTGGCCATGAGATATGGGCACTGACACCAGCCTGACTCCACTTCCCCATCCACACAGGGGCTGTCCTCAGCCTAAGCAAGTGCTTCAGTGCTGTGGGAACACAGAGGCTTTTCTTCATGAATCGGACACAAAGATCTTCCCGCTCTCTCTGGGCTTCCATAAGGTATTCAGCGTGTTGCAGCTCCAATTGCTTTGATGGCAGAGAGTTTGGCATCCATGGCCTCCAATATTCCTGCAGCTCCACTCTGATGATGCACATCATGCTCCGAAGCACTGGAGTCCTGCTTTAGACCCTTCACTGGGCAGCATGTGACAATCCCAGGTGGCTTTGTCTCTGAGCTCTGCACAGTCAACCACCACCACATTGTGTCAAATGTCACAAAGGGAAGCACTAAGATTACCACAGATAAGTGCAAATGTAAGTGGCTCTCCTAGCACTGAGCATACTTCCATACCTGGGAGCATTAATCCTGCAAATACTCACATGTGTGTCTTTGCTTTTGGGTATAAATGTTTGTGTGACTGGGCTTTGGCTGATCAGCAAGAGGATCAGCTGCAAAGAGTAGTCTGCATTCTGATTTTAATTTAGCTTTCAATTTAGTTTCATCTAAAAATTTGAACAGTTTGTAAAAAGCTTCATTCACACTGATTAGAAATAAGAACTTAGTTTTAAAAAGCTGCATAATCCCTTGATGTTGCATGGGAAACAGGACCTAAGCTTGCAAGATAGAGTGGGTTTACTTGCAGGAAGTCAGCAGGTGCTCAGCAGTTCAGTACCTCTCAGGATCTAAGTATGCTTCTAAATAACTTGGCCCATCCCATCAGTCCCCCCCCATGAACTGACTAAGCTGTGAAATAA